CCAGTCCAGCCAGGCGCCCCTGGAAATAGTATTTCTCAGCAATGTAGTGCCATAGGAAGAGCATGTAATTCGACTTTTGGTGGAACATTTTTTTAAACGTTTACTTATTTATTTTGAGGGTGGGGAGGGGCAGAGAGGGAGAGAGAATACCAAGCAGGCTCCACGCTGTCAGGGCAAAGCCAGATGTGGGGCTAGAACTCACAACCATGAGATCACGACCTGAGCTAAAGTCGAGTTGAACACTTAACTGACTCAGCCACCCACGTGGCGCCCCTAATTTTATTTTACAGAGAGAGAGAGAGAGAGAGAGAGAGCAAGCAAATGGGGGAGAGGGACAGAAGGAGAGAAAGAAAAGAATCTCAAGCAGGCTTCATGCTCAGCACACAGCCCAACATGGGGCTCAATCCCACGACCCTGGCATCATGACTGAAATTTGGCTCACCAAATTGGAGAGTTGGATGCTCAACCGACGGAGCCACCCAGGCGTCCCTTGGGAACATTTCTATAACGCAGACCTTGTGGCTTACGTTACGTGACTCCCAACTTCAAACCTCTAGCCCAAATGACTCCCCCTAATTTGACCCTTGTACATGCATTTGCCTTTTCAACACTGTCACTGTCACTGGATACCCAATAGGGCCCTCAAACTTAACATATCCCAAACTGTGGACTCCTGTCCTTTTCTGCCTGGCTTGATTGTCCCCAGTCGGCTTCCTCCTTGGTAAATGGCAACTCCATCTTTCCAGACGCTCAGCCCAAAAATCTTGCCGACATAGTTGACCTCTCTGCCCTCAAGGCCAACTATCTTGGCACCACCTTCAGATTATATCCAGGATCTAGCTGCTGCTTACCGCTTCCACTGCCTCCACCCTAGTCCAGGCCACCATCGTGTTCCTCCCGAACTACCGCAATAACCCCCCAGCCAGTCTCCCAGCTTCTCCCCAACCTAGTCACCACATGGCAGAGACTCTTTTACTATGTAAGTCAGCTCATACCACCCCTTCGCCCAAAGCCCCCATTGGCTCCCCATCTTACTTAGGTTGAAAACCAAGTCCCGGGGCACCTGGGTGACTCAGCCGGTTATGCGTCCGACTTTGGCTCAGGTCACGATCTCGCGGTTCGTGAGTTCAAGTCCTGCAACGGGCTCTGTGTTGACAGCACGGAGCCTGCTTTAGATTCTGTGTCTCCCTCTCTCTCTGCCCCTCCCCTGCTCATTCTCCCTTTCTCTCTCTCTCAAAATAAACAAACATTAAAAAAAAAAAAAAGTCTTTATAATGGTTGAATCGCCCCAAACTTCATCTCCTGTAACTCCGACCCTCGCGTATTCTGGTCTTCAGACAGGGTGACCTGATTGCTCTAACCTCAGGGTTCTTGCTCCTGCCTCTGCCTGGAATCTTCTCCCCTGCAAACTATCCGCAAGACTCCTTTACTGGGGCACCTGGCTGGCTCAGTTGGTGGAGCATATGACTTCCAGTCACTCCGGTCTAAGGGTCGTGAGTTCCAGCCCCGTGTTGGGGGTAGAGATCACATAGAAAAAGGTAAAAAGAAACCAAAAAAGACTCCCTTACTTACTTCAGGTCTTGGCTCACTAGCGAGGCCTTCCTTGACCACCTCCCACTCACTATCACCCCTGCTACATTATTTACATGTTTATTTTCTATCTCCCCTCTACCCTCCTGCCCCCTTTATAAGGTTCACTTCACAGAGGCGGGAACTTCGGGTCAGATGTGTGCACAGCCAATAAGCTGAACGGGCCAAAGATGCCAAATATGGAAAAAATAACAATAATATATAGACACATTATTTTCAATAATTAGTATCATAATATACATTACCCCTGCTTTTCCAATCAGTTTTTCTCTCTGTTGTCGAAAACTGACGTCTGTGCTCAGAGCAGGAACTGGAAGACAGAGTTGGGGTATACAGAAAGGAAGATAGTTTACTACTTTGCCAGGCAAAGGAGGTTACAGCAGACTAATGTCTCCAAGACTGCAAGCCCGCCTGGGGGAAAGGGCTGAGGGCTTTTATAGGAAAATACAGGATCTGGGCATTTGGATAGCAGTCTGGTCCCCGCTGCCAGCCTGGTTCCTCAAGGTGGTCTCATGACTAGAGCTGGCGGGGCCATCTGAGTCTCGTTACTAAGTATACATTGAGGGCGGCATGTCAATATCTGTACTGAGTTCTTGGAACAAAGGATTCCACAGAAAAACAAGTGAAAGGGAAGGGGAGGAGGAGGCTTTCAAGAATGAGGAAGAGACAAATTTGTTCAGTTTATAAAGTCCAACCCAAAACAAAAAATAGTGATAAAGTCAAGCCTTGCTGGGGGACTAGCACGTTCACCTTTTTTTGTTATTTATTTTTAAGTAATCTCTACTGCTCAAGTGAGGATCAAACTCACCACCCTGATTCTTTGTTTTTTAAATCTCTAGCTCCAACGTGGAACTTGAACTCAGAACCCCAAGACTAAAAGTCGCATGCTCTACCGACTGAGCCGGCCAGGTGTCCCAACTAGTTGTCCATCTCTCTCTTTTTAATGTTTATTTGTTTAGTTCTGAGAGAGAGAAAAAGAGAGAGGCAGAGGGAGGGAGACAGAGAATCCCAGGGGCTCGAATGCAGGCATCATGAAATCATGACCTGAGCCAAAATTAAGAGTTGGACGCCTAACCGGCTGAGCCATGCAGGCACCCCTAGTGCGTACATCTTAATTTCCATCCCTCTTTACATTTCTACAGAGGTTTCATCTCTACCTTTTAGGTTCCTTATTCTTTGCTAATTTTTCTCTTCTGAAACTAAATTCTTACGATGTCCGATTCAGACAAATAAATGATTTATAAAGCGTCTACGTAACCCGCACTCTCAACGTATTTTCTCTCTTGCTCAGTCTTTCACCGGGTTTCTTCTTTATTTCACTTTGTTGTTGTTTCCTTTGTAAGCTTTCCCTTAGATTTCAAAGTGCTTTCGTTGTTCATTTCCTCCAGGCCTAGCAAGGAAGGGCTTCAGTTTGGTGGAGTTTTCTCCACCCTCTCTCACTCTTACTTTTTGAGTCCTGGAAACCAGGATTTACTCCAGATTTACTCCACCACAACCTTGTCACTTTTTGTCTTTTCACATTCTTGACGCAAAACGGTAGACCTCCAAATGCTCTGTCTACTCTTCACCAAACCAACTGCACACTGAATACAGAGCCAGAAACAGCTCAGCCTAGTGCTCTCAACAATACTGGCTCCTAGAAATGCGTTTTAGAAATTTGTGTGGGTATTTCAGGTTGTCACGATCACTGGGGGGTAAGGGGGATCAGCATGTAATTGGGATGCCAGACATCTACGATGTGACAAACCTGCATGGTAAAATATTGTCCCACAATCCATCGGATTTTTCTTTCTTTTAAAAAAGTTTGTTTTCCTTAACGTTTATTTTGAAGAAGACAGAGCGTGAGTGGGGGAGGGGCAGAGAGAGAGGGAGACACAAATTCCGAACAGCCTCCAGGCTCTGAGCTGTCAGCACAGACCCGGACATAGGGCTCCAGCCCACAAACGGCCAGATCACGACCTGAGCCAAAGTCGGCTGCTTAAGCGACAGAGCCACCCAGGCGCCCCTCCACCTGACTTTTCAACGTCCTGCCAGACACCCACTTATGTGTCTGAGGCCTAGACTCGAACTTCACTTTACATATGCTCTTTTTTGACGTTTTAATATACACTAAAATTTCTAAGAATTCTTCTATGTAAAAAAACAATGGAAAATTGTACTTTCACAGAGTCAGAACTTTACCAAGAAGTTGTACACCATTTTGGAGAAATCATGTCACCCACAGTAAATCCTTACGATGCTTGGGGAACCAACCTATTGAGGTTGCAACTTCTGATTTCACAGTTATGTGTGTGAACAACCACACAACTGCTTCTTTTTTTATTTTCTATAGTAGACATGTCTTAGCCTTTAAATTTTGAAGTTTATTCATTTATCTACGTAAGTAATCTCTACACCTGAGGTTGGGCTGGAACTCAGGACCCAGAGATCAAGAGTTGACTGCTCCTCCAACTGAGCCCGCAGGCGCCCCTAGCCTTTATATTCTGAAGTATTATTATTTTGCTATTTTGCGATGCTTCTCCTTTACCTTACAGCTAGGGTGTTTTGTTGTTGTCGTGTTTAATTATGTGTGCAGGTGGGTTATATTACCCATGATTTTCATTACAGAACAGTAAAAACAAACAAAAACAACAAAAGGAGGTCTATTCAGTATATAAAAAGGGATGTTGGTGCTGATTTAATTCGCTAACAGGTAGACCATTCCAAGATTTCCCATTTGCTTTGGAAGCTACTGTTTATACTTTGACCACACCACACACAACCTCATTTTCACTTTCAAGCATCCTAAGCAGTTAAATAGGGACCCAGACGATGCAGATGCTAATGAAAACTTGCACGGTCCTTAAAAATGGAAATAATCCTGCATGCGTAAAATCTCATTTGATGCTCACAAGAGTCCTACAAAGAAAAGTCAACAAAATATTTCTAAAGATTCTTCTTACCCACGTAGTGGATTACAGTAAAAATGAAAACAAACAAAAAGTACTTGTTATATTACTGAGCCGCTGTCATACCTTCTCTTTGAGCTTTGAGAGATCCCACAGATTAAACCAAGATTCTCAACCAGATGAAACTTTTTTCTTTAGGATTTCAGCCTGCTCATGCAGAGATGAGAAAACGGAGATCCAAGAAAAGTTAAGCGACTTGCCCACGGCTCTGAGAAATAATATTTGCAAAGCAGGGAGACGTAAGAGTATATGGGACGGCCTACTCTATTACACTAGCTTTTCTCACCGCAGAAGCCGTGGATGAAAGTCGGTTATCAAGGCAAAACCGGACGTGAGCCGCAGGCTCGAGGGCGAGCCCCGCCCTCCGCCCCGCCCCCAGGGCTGTCTGAGGCAGTGCCTGACTGGTGGCCAGCGCAGGGGGCCTCGTGGGGGTCCTTCGCGCGGGCTCCCGACGCACTGCCTGAGTGGGTGCGCAGGCGGCTTCCGGTGTGGGTGACGAGTGGTGGCCGAAGCAGGGGGACATCAAGGGACGTTCAGGCCGGGACCATGGCGGACGGCGGCTCAGAGCGGGCTGATGGGCGCATCGTCAAGATGGAGGTGGACTACAGCGCCACGGTGGATCAGCGACTGCCAGAGTGCGAGAAGCTGGCCAAGGTGAGGGGAGGCCGGCTGGCTGTTCGCGGGCGCCAAGGGCTGAGTCACGGCGCGGAGCTTGCTTAGGCCTCAGGGGGCCTGCGGGCTGAAGGGTGCGTCCCCCACTGCCTGCCCAGCCCGAGTTGGGCCTGCGTGAGCAGGAGGTCCCAGGTGTGCCCCGCAGCGGGAGTACGCTGGTGCATACAGCTTCCCAAACTCTTCCCCTGGACTGATGGCCACTTCCCGGAGGAGGTGGGGCCTCACAGTACTCTTTGCCTTTTCTCGGTACTGTTTATCGTTTACTTTAACAGTTTCCCAGGGGTTACGGCCGCTTTAGCGTTCAGGCTAGATCAGAGAGTTGAGTTCTCTTACTCTGGCTGAATGAACGTATGTCGTTAAGTTGTTTATGGATCATGGGATGTTCCTGGCCTGTAGCCAGGAGAAGCAGTAGGAAAGTGAAACAGGACGAAGGTGATGAGCGCAGGACCCCTGCCCTTAAGGAGTTCGTATATATAACGAATTAGACGAGTCAGGCATGGTGGTGCGTGTTACACAAGTATAAAAGTGCTTATTGGAACGCAGAGAAGGAAGCTGTTGTTTTTTTTTACTGGTGGGGTAAGGGAAGGTTTTACGGAGAAGTTGACGTTTGTTTTGGGCCTTGAAGAAGAAAATTGGGATGGGGAGGAGTCGTCCCCGGAGCGGGAACTGCAGCCGCAAAGACTAACAGGCACAGCAGTGCAGAATAACCTAATTAGGGGAGGTCATGAACCGTGGTTTAGTCCAACTGCTTATCTCCTCTGGAATAGAAATTGAACTTGATTCGAACATTTTTCACATCTCCTGATATGTGTCAGGCAACTTTATGTACCATTTTACATATAAAGAAACCAAGCCTCCTGGAGATATTTGTGGAACACAGGTAGGAACAGAACCAGGGTTTCAAAACTAGATTTGTCTGACTAGGGTTTGAATGGTTGTGGAATCAATTCCCATCATGGGCTGTTGCTAAGGATTACGCTCAGGCCTCATTAAATTCCTTGATCAATCTAGCCACAAATATTTATTGCTATTCACCTGGGATGCATGTACTAATAGGGTTGTTTTTGTCTCTTAAGGTGATTACCACAGAAGTACACTTAAGTGCAACTAATTCAGGGACAGGAGGAGTGTCAAGTAATATTTCACAGTAATATTTCTTAAAAAAAAACAACCTTTCCACTGCTTCCTTTTTTTTCTGATAAAAGATTTGGTGGGGCTTTAAAAAGACAGGGATAGGGAAGGCTGATGAAGTTGATACACCTGAATTTCTTAGCTTCAGTACACTTGATGGCGGGGAGCCATAAATTCATCTCTGAACTTTCTAGCAGCTTGTGTAAAGAAACATCCTCACTTACATGAGAGTTGGAAAACCCCGACAGTGCCAGGCAGATAACGATAGCTGGCATTTGTCGAGTATTTTCTACACTGCCAGGCAGCCTTCTGCGTGCTTACATGCATTAGCACGTTCGGGCCTCACCTTAGCCCCATGTGATAGGTGTTGTTGTTTTACCGACAAGAAAAGAGTCTAAGAGAAGTTGAGTCACGTGCCCCAAGGTCATACAGTTAGTAGAGTGATGGAGCCAGGATGCAGAGCAAGCAGACTGATTCTGGAGCTTGTGCTGTCTCCATGCTTTCCTGCCTAGTGAGCCAAGTGTGATGAAATCCTGAGCCAACTTCTGACCACTTATCCAGGGAAGGGGGGGAAGTAACTCCTCACCTCCAGTTAATCTTTGCCAATTGGGCATGACAGCCAGACCTCAACTCTTCTAATTTGACGGAGAAACCAGGGGTATGGATTTGTTTTATACGAATTGCCTCAATATTTAGAATCTGGACACAGATCTGTTGTAAAACACCATTTGAGCCAATACCACATAGATCAGACAAAACATACCTACGGTCCAGAGTCAGCCCCTGAACCAGCACTTTGGAATTAATAGATTGCTGGTTTCCATAAGGAAGAAACCGTTTGCTGAAAAGAAGTACAGCTATGCCTAGAGCTGAGACCTGGGAGAAAAAAAAATCTTCCCTTTACCAATTTCTGATAGCCTACTGTCAGTAGTCCGTGCTAGACGTTGTGGGGAGTATAAAGGTTATTAGACAAAGCTCTTGCCCTCAGAGAGCTTATAGGCCAGTAAGAAAAAAAAAAATATTTCACTGCTACAGTTGTAGTAATCACGTGTATGGCGTTTATGTAGGATATTATGGTTATGTGTTCAAGACAGTTGGAAAGACTTGCAAACTCAAATGCCTTTTTAGGTGTCAAGTGGGTAGCAGAAATGTTTAAAACAGGGAATGTTGTGGCCTGCTGAGCTATGTAAAATAAAAGCCGTTTGAATTTTTTTTTTTAAGTTTGTTTATTTTTGAGAGAGAGAAGACACATGTGCACAAGCTGGGAAGGACAGAGAGAGAGCGAGAGCATCCCAAGCAAGCTCTGCCAAGGGGTTCAGTCCCACAAACCATTAGATCGTGACCTGAGCCGAAGTCAAGAGTCAGAGGCTCAACCCACTAAGCCACCCAGGTGCTCCTGGATTTTTTATTTATTTTTTTTAAGCCAGTGTGCCAGTGGAACAAAACAGGGTACAGGTGTGGATTCTTTTTGTGAGGGAGGAGGGGATGGGAGGGCATAAATGTTTGTGGTTTTGTTTTTTAATGCAAACCCACGATTTTCAACTTTTGGATTAGACGATTGTCTTACAGTCTAGTTAATTTTTTTAAGTTTTGTTTTGCCTTCTGTTTGTCATCTTATATTTTCTAACCATTCTGCCAAATGTAAGAAAATACCTATTTAAAGCATTGTATTTTTACACTGGAATGTATGGGACACTTTAGCATACATTCTTTTGCTTTTTTACTTTAAGCCCATCAACAAAACTGAAGAAAGTTTTGTTGTTTTTACTTTACTTGTGAAAAAACTAAGGTTCAGGCAGCTTAAGTGGTTTATCCAAGGTCTACAGCAAAGCCAGGTCAAGCTCAGGTCTCCTGGCAACAGGTAGTGTTCGTTTTGCTACATCTCACGATATCTTTAAGAGACTTGCTCCCGTGCTTATTTTCCTTACAGCATTTTTAATTTATTTTTTATTTTTATGGTGTTTATTTTAAGAGATTGAGAGTACGAGTTCTTGCACTAATGAGTGGGGTAGAGGCGAGAGAGAGAGAGAGAGAGAGAGAGAGAGAGAGAGGGAGAATCCCAAGCAAGCTCCCCATTATCAGTGTAGAGCCGACTTGGGACTTGATTCCACTAACCTCGAGATTATGACCTGAGCCAAAACCAAGAGTCAGATGCTCAACTGACTGAGCCACCTGGGTGCCCCAAGACAATTTTTATTCTTTTTTTTTTTTTTTTTTAACATTTATTTATTTTTGAGACAGAGAGAGACACAGCATGAACGGGGGAGGGGCAGAGAGAGAGGGAGACACAGAAGCGGAAGCAGGCTCCAGGCTCTGAGCCATCAGCCCAGAGCCCGACGTGGGGCTCGAACTCACGGACCGTGAGATCGTGACCTGAGCTGAAGTCGGACGCTCAACCGACTGAGCCACCCAGGCGCCCCGACAATTTTTATTCTTAATGTGAACAACATTTGCAGGTAAAAATTGTGTGTATAGAAACTTAATAAGAATATACCCAGTGAGAAAAGCACAGAGAGCAGAAACCTTCAGAAGGCATCCTGAAGTCTAGACCTGGGTGGTAAAATTGACAAATCCAGGCCATTTGAATCTCCTACAGTTGTGACTTACTACGACTCTGTTTCTGTGTCCTAACACTCAACATAGAACACCAGTCACTAATATTTATTGCTGTGTACTTTCTATATAATGTTAGCTGTTATGATGAAGATAATGTACCTAGTATATTCCAGGCATGTCTTCATAAGTATTGCTTTAATCCTTACAGCAACCCTGTGGGGCAGGAATTATTTTTATTATACTCATTTCATTTAAGAGAAAATTAAGGGCCAGAGAGCATGAGGGTCTTGCCCTAGGTAGCACAGTGGTGGACCTGGGATTTAGACCCAAGCAGTCTGGCTGCAGAGCCTATGTTTTTAACCATTACGTTCTCCTCTGCTGCCTCTGTGATTGGTATTTGATTGATGAAATAATAAAAGTGATACTAGTTCTTGATAATGGTTAGGGCTTCACCGTCCTATTAGCTAAGGAGTTAAAAATTAATCTGAAGAGGGCTTTTTCTGAACTGTATGTGGTATTTAGCAGTTCTTACTACACAGAGGATCACCACCCCCCATTTCGATTACACTATATTTGGTACGTGGTTGTTTGGGGATTATATTCTTAAATTGAACGTATCCTTTGGTTCTCCCTCTTCGTGTCTTTTCATTTCATTTGGTTACCTGCAGCCTCTTCTCCAGGAGGAGGTGAAATGTAAAACAGTTTATTGATTGCCAGCAGCTCGGACATAAAGACCCTCTTAAGAAATAGTAACGTTAGGGGCTTCTGGGTGGCACATTTGGTTGAGCATCTGACCTCGGCCAGGTCACGATCTCACAGTTGGTGAGTTTGAGCCCCATGTCGGGCTCTGTGCTGATAGCTAGAGCCTGGAGCCTGTCTCCCTCTCTCTCTGCCTGCTCATGCTCGCTCGCTCTCTCTATCTCAAAAAAAAAAAAAAAAAAAAATTTTTTTTAAGAAATAGGTCATGTAAAAATACTGGATTAGCTTTAAATTTCAACTACTTGTGGTTAACTTTTTATTGGCCTTTTTCTTGTGTAGGTTGTTTAACAAGTTATTGAAAGGTTGGATCCATTTAGGAGGTAAAAGGTAGAAACAGAGAACTTACAGATACATAACATACATGATATGTATGTTGATGATATGTATGTTGAACAAACTCCTTAGTAAGTTACCTCATTTACAAAGACTTTAATGAGAAAAATGAGTCACAAAAGTCACATGTTCTAATGAGTTGGTTTTGGTAGCTTTGACCGTCTCCTTCCTCTGAGTTGAAAGGCAGCAAGGTGGGGTGGAATTTCAAGAACTGTGAATAGTTAGGAAAGGAGGAAGGTGGTTAGCCATAGCATTGACCGTGGAAGATTTGGAGAAAAAAGTGGAATAATTAGAGAATTGGGAGTTGTATTTATTGAAGTTGATGGTAGCATCCCCCAGATAGAACTGAATTGCCGGCCATATAACTTACCACGTCCTACTTACCTTGACAGTAAGAATCAGGAATTTTGGGTACCTGGGTGGCTCAGTTGGTTGAGTGTCTGACTTCGGCTTAGGTCATAATCTCAAGGTGAGTCAGGAATTGTAAGCCATTAAGATCATCTGCTAGTTGTGGTCCAGCCATTCAGTGCATACTACGTACAAGTTGGTGTGAG